TGATGGTCACATTCACATTTCCTGTATTTGATGCCTTTCTAGAAATGGAGAGGAAATCCGCCTTCCTTGTTGTTGTTTATTAAAACACAGCCTTTTCTGCAAAAGTCATTACAGCATTAGTTCAGATTTGCTTCAGATTCCCTATTTTCATGAATCACTTTTTCTGTGAAGCAGAGGTCTGTGTTCAAACTTGAATCTACAGTCCACTGAAAGAAAATAAATGAATTCACTGAATACTTTAAAAATGTTTTCTAAGTTCAGTGATTTTAGTAACTTTCTACTTCCTAGAACTTTAGTTGATTATTTTCTGACAATTTTTTAAACTGGGTTGAGATTTTATGTACTTTAATTAGTTTGACTTCATCCTATTTCAGATTTAATGTCACCCAAAATATTTAGACTTACATTTTCTAGAGCTGCCTTGAATTTGAGTCAGTCAATCTTGCTGTTGGCTAGTTGAGAGCCTGTGACTGGAATAAAGGGTATGGAAGAGGTGGCTGAAAAGTAAGCAGAGCGGTACTCTGCTTACTTTGTAATTTCACCTAGACTTAGCCAGAACCCCAAATGGCTTTGTATGGTAAGCTTAGTTACCAATCGATGAAAGTACATCACTGAGATTAATTATAGCAGGTGGTTTTGAAGAGGGAAGTGGGCTGGCAAAGCACAGCACTTTCAGATAGAATTTCTCTGGCACATCTAACTAAATGTGTGTTCTTGGGCAAGTCACATAATCCCTCTAATGAGGAAGATGGAGACAATGCCTACCTTATACAGTTACTGTGAGGTTCGCCTGAGGAGCCAAGTATGTGCCTTCTAATCTGAGGAAGTGATATGACTTCATTATAGTTGGGACTATTATTACCTTAATGATTTGGCACTGGATTCCTGCCTTTGGATTTCACCCTCTGTTTAACTCCACCACAGTGGCTCAATGGTAGAGGCATAAAAGGTTTAGCCCCTCCTCCCAACACTTTGCTTATGTCCAGTCAAATAAAGAAAAGTGACAGGCTTGGTTCTCTCTGACTTCTTTCCCAGAACAACAACCTTCTTACTATTCAACAGTATTTATGTTTGGATAAAGGGCTAGAGCTGAAGTTACAGAGGGAAAATATAAAGGAGGCTGCAAAATAGGGCTGCTCAGAGTTGCACAAACAGCTCTGACACAGCAAGGCTGAAAGCAGTAAATAAAGGACACCAGAAAGGACTGGCCGCGTGGAAGTGCTTCATTCCTTTCAGCCTTGGCAGAGTAACAGTTCAGCGGTTAGGTTACATGTTTTCCCTTCTGAGGGCTTTAGAAACAATAAATGATTAATCTCTTTAAATAGTTCTCACTAAAGAATATACTTTGTTAATTTTATGCCATTAAAAAGGCTATCGGGCCAAAGAGTTTCAAAGATCAAATGAGTGCAGTGTGTAAAAGGAAGGCTGTGGTGAAATGTCTATTTAGGTCTTCCGCCCATTTTTTATGCTGGAGAGGGTGTGGAGAAAAGGGAACCCTCCTGCACCGTTGGTGGGAAGGTAAATTGATACAGCCACTATGGAGAACAGTATGGAGGTTCCTTAAAAAACTAAAAATACAACTACCATATGACCCAGCAATCCCACTACTGGGCATATACCCTGAGAAAACGATAATTCAAAAAGAGTCATGTACCACAGTGTTCATTGCAGCACTATATAGCCAGGACATGGAAGCAACCTAAATGTCCAACGATAGATGAATGGATAAAGAAGATGTGGTACATATATACAATGGAATATTACTCAGCCATAAAAAGTAACAAAACTGGGTCATTTGTAGAGATGTGGATGGACCTAGAGTATGTCATACAGAGTGAAGCAAGCCAGAAAGAGAAAAACAAATATCGTATATTAACGTATATATGTGGAATCTAGAAAAATGGTACAGATGAACCTACTTATAGGGCAGGAATAGAGATGCAGATGTAGAGAACAGACATGTGGACACAGAGGGGGAAGGGGAATGTGGGATGAATTGGGAGATTAGGTTTGACATAAATACACTACCGTGTGTAAAACAGATAGCTAGTGGGAACCTGCTGTATAGCACAGGGAGCTCAGTTTGGTGCTCTGTGACGACCTAGATGGGTGGGATGGGGGCTGGGAGGGAGGTCCAAGAGAGGGGATATAGGTATACATATAGCTGATTCACTTCATTGTATAGCAGAAACTAACACAACATTGTAAAGCAATTTTACTCCAATAAAAATAATAATAATAATAATAAAGAGGAAGGCTTATGTTTGTGTTTTAAAAAGTAAAACACAAAGAAATTATATTCCACTGAAATTAAGTTCTCGTAAATTATAACACTGATGCTACTGGGGAAATTTACATAGGAAAATGATACTGTTTCCTTCCCCTCATATGTAACAGTGAAACACACACATACACACACACACAGAACATCATGGATCTGTATAACTATTAGCTTCTCCCACTTTCAGCACATATGAAAATCTGAACTACCTAAACAAGCCAGCTAATGATTATTAAATTTACTGTAAATATTATTTATCCTTTATAAAATATTTTTTGCAAAACTTTTCAGAAGCACATTTCCTGAAATATTTCTAGTGACTGTTTTTAAACTTATGCATGTGGATATTGTATATTGCATTTATATGAAATGCCCAGAAAAAGCAAATACAAAGGAACAGAAGGTAGATTAGCGGTTGCCAGGGTTTGGCAGGAGAGTGGGGTGCAGAATGATTCTTAACGGTTATGGGGTATCTTTGTGGCATAATGAAAATGTCCTGGAATTAGGCAGTGATGATGGTTGAACAACCTTACAAATATACTAAAATATACTGAATTGTACACTTTTTTAATGGGTAAATTACATAGTATATATGTATATACTATATACATATATATAGTATATAAATTATACTCAATAAAAAGTTATGTCATTTCTTTTCTGCATAAAACAATTTGTGCCTAAGACACATTCCCAAATAATCTCTAATAATATTTACCATATGAACTAAATACTTATTTCTCGTAGGAAAAAAAAAAATCTATGGGTGTTTACTGAAAATATCATGCTAGCCCTCATAAAATGTTGAATTCATCAGAATCAGAGGTTCAAATACTCAAAATACAACCAACTATAGGACACAAATCCTTTATATTCCACAGCACTCATATCACTGAATGTGACCAGAAAGACAAAGTCACCTAATCCTTATTATTTTTTAACCGTATGAAATGGAAGACTCAAATGAATTATTTTGACACTTCTCCAGTGATGCTATGGTCCCCTCATTGATCACTTATTTGCAGCTTTCACTATTTTATGTGTGAGATACAGTTGATTTCCAATCATTAACACCAAAGTCTGCCAGAAGCACTTTGTATTAATGAATTTCAAAGTATTTTACCATTTTATTAAGTCTAACTACATGCTTTCTGGGAAGATTTCAAGCAGTCTGATTGAATAGGCAGCTTACTGTTGGTAACAGAGACAAATGGTAAAAGCAGAACTGAAATTCACAACTTCTGACTAATCCATCTATCCTGATGGTCCATTATTCCAATCAGCCTGTCTCTAATAAAATCAACATCACTTAATGTAAATGTGAATGTAAATATTCACAGGTAACGATGGAGAAGTATCAGTGGAAAGGATGAAAGAAAGAAAAGCCAAAAGTATGATTCCTGCCACTGTTGTGTAATGAATATAAAGCCCTATAGATGGCCCTTCTTCCTCCTACCTCCAAGCATCTACAAAGAAAACTACAGAATATCATCACAAGCTTTTCATTATTAATACAAGTTCAAGGAAGAACTCAGATTACCCCTCACCAAGGAAATTAGCTGGTGACATGTGTGAGAACGACTACATTCAACCTTTCCTGGTTCAGCCAAATCTACTTGACTAGGCTAATACACTCTCATGAAATGCATTGGCTTCAAGGTAAAGTCTAACAAAATTAAATATACATGAGCTCCTGAGGGAATTAAATCAATGGACTACAAAGCGACTTCCTGATTTTTCTCTGATAACTTGTCACTCTCGCCAGAAGGAGCACCCTGCACACTGCGTAGGCAAGAGTAAGGTATGGCAGTGGTAACGGAGACCAGTGAGCATAAAAACCCTAGAAAAAGCAGCTGTTACTTTTGTTTCCCTCTCCTTCCCTCTCCCTTGCCCTCCCCCCTTTCTGTCTTGTGTGCGTGCGCATGCATGCGTGTGTATGCTTATACTGCACTTACACAGCCCTATATAGTCTGCAAACTTTATAACAACCCAGTTTTCATATATGTTACTATTGCATGGTAAAAAAAAAAAATAATAGCTAAATTTTAAATGCCACTTTTAACATGGAATTAAGGCAATCTTTTAAAATGTAAGTAACAGAGATGCAATGATTTATGTTATTAAATAAATGATTTAGAACCCATTTGAGGATAGCTATCGATTCAAAGAGCATTTCCAGACATCAGAATTGAACTGCATACAACAGCTGCTAAAAGGCAGATGGCTTCCTCATTCAGTGGCATGAGCCTCTTTTATGAATTAAGATCATGGCCCTGCCCTGTCCACACTGGACAATCCTATAACAATGTGCATTTCTGTGGTTTGGACTAATAGAGTTTTGTGTCTTCTGCTGTTGAAGGTCACTTGTATCTTGGATTTTCTTGTTTATCTTGACTGAGTGTGGACTATTCTCAACCTAGTTGAGAGGTATTTGTATCAAGCAGTGTTAATGAGAGAAGTGCCTTCCACTAAGTTTCTTACATATCTTTGCCACTACTGTCACTATACAGAATAGATTCCTCAAGAAAAACTTTCTTGCTAAAATACAAGTATAGCACTTTTAAGTGGAAAAGAACTGCTCAACCAAAATAGAGAAGGTATTTCCATCATTTCTAAAAGCTATTTGGCTTACCCAGATTAAACCAATGATGGGTGAATATTTATTAACACAAAGCTTTATTTTTGCCAAAAAAGTATTCATCATAAAAGTTATGCTCACATTTGCATTCCTTACAGCACTTGCCATCCACGTATGCAAGAGCCGACTTGAGGGGGCAGTCAGGATTTGGGCAAATCAGAGTTTCACACTGGATGGTTCCATTCTGAGAAGAAAACAGTATTTTAAAGAATTTCCAAGTTGCAGCTTGGTAGCTTTCAAGTATTGTTTAATATATTTCTTAAATTTCAAACTCTTCATGTAAAATGTCATAAATACCACTATTCTCTTTGGTTATTATACAGCAAAACCCATAATACAGTAAAACCCACAGTAATAAATTGGGTCATAACACAGATGGTGATTGGCTCCACCTTCTGTCCAGCAACTGAGCTAGAGTTCTCACCTCCTGTTGTGAAGTGGATGAGGAAGTTGTGGAGGGAAGGGCACCTGCTGACAGGGAAACAGCAGGCTGAGGGTCAGCCTGGGGCACTCATGTCTCCCCAGATGACTCACAAAATGAGCATCAACAAACGAGGAGATTTTTGGAATAGCTGCTGCTGTGCTGGAGACCCAGTCTCAGGATGCAGAAATCTTCCCAAGGATATTTAAGCTTGGACAGGCCACCACCATGAATTGATGCTGACAATCATCACAAGAGGTGCCAAACGGGGAAAGGGGACCTCAAGAAATTTGATTCCTGAAGGTCACCCAGAGCTCCCAGGTAGGTTAGCTGCTTTTCAAGTCGTTTTACTGACTTCACATACCACATCTTGTATTTTACTCAATTTGATTTTTGGCACCCATTTAACAAGTTGGGAAGGTTTTACTGTATTTGTAAAATACAGTAAAATACTTGTAAAATACTTTAATAGGAATATATGTTCCTGAATAGAAATCATACAAAGCAGGCACACACATACACACATGTATGGTTATTTCACACTAACTTTGACCTTCTCACATCATGATCTTCCACTTTTGAATAAACTGGATGAACTTGGGAAAAAATTTTTTAGACCTCTGACTTCTTTCCAGTCAACCAGTTTTAACAGATAATTCATATGGAATTTAAAAGTTCAAAACTAAACTCATTTTGAACTTGTCTTTGCAAATGAACTTACATGTTTGAAATAATAATGCACTAAATATTCTACTTAATTAGTGAGCAATTAGAGAACTCAAACTTATTTATACTCTATAATTTGTATTCCACTGTATTAGTAAACTTTTAAAGATTATTTAAACTCCATTATTTGTTTGTACAGCCCAATCTGGACACAGTATTTCCTGTTGCACTTAGTTTTATCAAAATGCATTAATAAAACATGAGGGGAAAATCCCTGGAAAAGTAAAGGATAACAGGATAGAATCCTTTGGGAATCCCTTTACTGACCCAATTTAAATTGTTAACTTTATGTGTGGACCAGTAAACTTAAAACTTTATAGCATTCTTAAACTGTAATCATCTTTATAGGCTAGAAAGTGTCTTTAATAATGCAACACAGTCCTTTAGATTTGACCAGGTTTGCTGGCACTTTAGTGTTGTGTTTTGAGGAAATGGGCCTCGAAATTTTCATGATGACATTGTTTTAATAAATTTTTGAAGGGTGGGGACATCTGAGTTCCCTTAGTCTGAACTCCAACAAAAGCCATACCAGGCATGTGCAGTTCTTACAGCCGTCTGCCCACGACTCGAGTTCTCGGTAGGTGGTTCCCTTCATGGTGCAAGTCCTTTCACAATAGCACTGGTCCAATCTATTCATTCGCTGTTCGGCTCGAGACAGCTGTGGCACAAAGGAAGGGGCTCATATTGTTCACGATTCCAGCAATGCAGAAAAGGCAAAATACTCCAACAGGCATCTGACTGTTTTTCAGGTGAATAACTGTAATGATGGCTGTGCCCATCAACTATTTATTATAAATATACATAAGCCTTTATTTTTTTCATTTTATTCTTTTCCATTGTGATTTATTACAGGATATTGAATATAGTTCCCTGTGCTATACCGTAGGCCCTTATTGTTTATCCACTCTATATATAATGGTTTGCATCTGCTAATCCCAAACTCCCAATCCAGCCCTCCCTCACCCACCTCTCCCTTGGCAACCGCAAGTCTGTTCTCTATGTGTGTGAGTCTTTTTCTGTTTCATAGGTAAGTTCATTAGTGTCATATTTTAGATTCTATATATAAGTGATATCGTACGGTAACTGACTTCCTCTTTCTGACTTACTTAATTAGTATGATAATCTCTAGGTCTGCCCATGTTGCTGCAAATGACTTAAGACTTTAATTTAAAAGAAGGGATTTTTTCCCCTCTTCTTTTTGTAGTAAACTTGCCCCCTGCCTTTGGGGGAAAAAAGCAGGATTTATATGATGGAAAAGAAGGCTATGTCAAAATAGCATCATCCACAATGCAGAGAAGCATTTTCCATTTTTAAAACTGTTTAATTTCATGACTATGTTTGCTCAATTGCAAACATAAATTTTAGAATATATATTGGGTCAGAAACAAATCATTGATATACAACACAACTTCCAGGTCATAAGTAACTGCTATGCAACAAGACAACAGCCTGGTGAAACTATAGGTAAACTTGATACAGGCTTAAGACAGACAATATTCCTACAACTGTAACATAGTGGTAGAAAGATTTCGTGGGACCATTTCCTTGACATAATTCTAGTGCTCATATTCTTTACAAAGTCCTCTTGCCTCCTTCCTTGCAAAGAAAAACTAAATAATAATAAAAACTAAATTAAACAATAAATCCTATTGTCATAATAAGCAGTGTAGTAATCTGCCTCATTCTTGATTTACTGAATCATTTGTTATACAGATGGCTAGGGTTTGAATATTTATAAGCCCCTTTCTTGAGCAGGGATTTCGGTTCAGTCCTGGTACACAGTAGGGTATTAGAAAAGTCTCATAGGTGAACAACTGTGGTTATAAAAGGAATTGTAAGGAACCTCAAGGATTTTTGAGCTCCCCCGGACTCTATTTCTAAGGAGCTTTTACCTTGGCTGATGTTTTGGCTAAAATGTCCTGCAGCTCCATGATTTTCTGCACGAGTCCATGAAAGTCATTGCAAGTTGGACAGGCTAGAATTACAAACACCACATTGGTCAAGTTATATTTATAAGGAGTTCAATCTGGTTAAGTCTATGCTGACAACTAATATATGAGAACTCCAATTTCAAACTGACATTTTGGACAAAACTAAGCAAGAAGCATACTTTTCATTACACGGTGCGAGAACTAATGGACTTACTGCGATTAAGATCTGGGCACTGAGCAATAAATCCTTGGGGCATGACAAGTAATTGTACATCTTGCATTATACCCTGTGTGAGAAAAATTTTGAAAAAGACGTATTACTTTCATCTACCCAAATTATGTTCAACAGTCAAGTTCATGAAGGGAAACATTACAGGATAGACTCACCAAAATCCCTGAATAAAATCTTTTGGAATACATTGCTTTGACTTCAAACCAAAGGGAAAGAAAAACATCAGGCAGGCAAAATAGATGAATACCCATGGACTTTCTTATTGATAATATTTTTAAAGCCTTAAGATTAAATGTCAAGATATAATTAAGAGGCAATAGTATGTGTCTGGGGAAGTTATTTTTAGTTAGCCACTGAAGAAAGGCTTGAAAATGACCTTTAAAAATCAACCTGAAAATCACTTTGGGTTTCAACAACAGTGAAACTGATACCCGTTTTAAGTTAACTGCAATCATCAAAAAGAAAACAAGAGAAAGGCTAAGTCATAAGAGCAATGCTTATTTGAGCATTTCTTGTTTCTTGGTTGGATATTTTTAAGTGAATTTCTCAACTGAAAAAGGACAAGAGATTTATTAAACAGCTACAGGAAGACTTAGTGCTGAGTCCTTAGGAGTACAGAAAGTTTAGCCTAAAATTTTTTAAAACGCCAACTGGAAATGACCCATGTTACACAGAAGGTCACATCACATGTTTACATGTGAGATTTACATGCATCCTTTGTCATTAAGATATAATTAGCTTCCAGCTTACAAGGCTCTTAAAACAATGGCCAAATGGTAGCTCAGAAACGACCTCATCAGACACACTCCAGCTGTCCCTTTCATTCACCACCCCTCTCTCTTCCTTCAACATCTTTGTATATTTTCTTTAAGTAATATTTCACTTTATCCCTTTAGAAAAATGGAAATAGAACATTTAATGACAGAGGTGACATACCAACATATTATTAAGACAAGATTTACCAGTCAAATCCTGGCCTATATATCTTCTACACATTTAATCTGATTAATAGCATGGTACAAAAACAGTGTCAGTGTAAATGATAAATATTTATGTATACTATGTGGCAATTGCTGGATCTGCTGTTTGCTTGGGGTTTGGATCAGGGAAGCAACTTGTATACAACAAAATCCTATCACTTGGTAGCAGCAACATGAAAGCAAAGCTACCATGTAGAGTTCTATAGTTTGTGCACTGCCCAAATCTAGTGAGCACCATTTACAGTCTACAGTAAAAATGATGGCCCCTAGAGTAGTACACATAACTGACATGTGAGGTTTCCTGATGCCACATCTGGGCTCCATGGGGAAGAGTGCCATGATTAAATAGAGGAGAGACTCGGCACCTATAGCAAAAACTTGCTATCCCTTATGTGGGAAAAGAGCACTGATTTTTCAGGACTCACAAGCATGGGATCAATTCCCCATGACTGGCTTTGGATAAGTTGTTTAAACTCTCTGAACAAGTTTATGCATATGTAAAAGAGATTTTAAAAAAATTAAAAAGGCCCTGCACCAAGGCTAACAAGACTAGGATTCGATGAAATAACACATTCAAAGCACCTGGTTTCCAGGTAGCAGTTTAAGTGAGTTTTAAAAATAGCTTTCTGGGAATACAAACCTTTCTTAGAACACAATTTTAAAGTTACTGGTACCTGCTCTAGCTAGAAATCCATGAGTTAGACACATCACCTATCCTTCTTTCATTTAACAACCATTTGCCGATCCTCTTCTGTAAGACAGGCAGTGTCAGAGTCATTGGAGGGGAAATGATTACACTATGGGCTTGTAATCAGGCAATTTTCTGAACTTTATTTCCTCAACCTTAAAATACTGAAAGTTAAACGGTATGTCTTTTAGATCCTGTGATGCAATTCCATGGAGTGTGTCTCTAAATAGACAATAAGAAAAAGATATAAATTATAACTGCTTTCTAGCTTTGATAGATTTGTGCATATATATGTATTCCTTTCTCACTTTTAGAAGTACGAAGAGACCATGAATAATGAATATTGAAAAGTTTTAATCCTCTATTATTAACACCCCAATAAAAGTATCATCAAAGGTTATATTTCAAAGGTAGAGAGTTTATTTGTATATCAACATTTTAGATTTTTATTATTCTGAATGCCTGATTTCAAGATGTTAACTCTGCCCTGATTGAGCCTTGTGATCATCTCTGTTATGTTTAAAGTTCAAACTCATTCAGGAAAAAAAGAGAAAATAGTGCTGACCAGCTAAATTAAACACCAGTGTAAAAAAAAACAAAAAACTAAAACAGAAATAGACACAAATAGAAAAAAACTATACACATCAAATTATTTTGCTTTACACCATAAAAAGCAAAACATACTTTTCCAAATTCATTAAAAAACATTTATATTTACACTTTATGCTCAGACCTTAGTCAGAAGATACCTTAAAATATCCGTGTGCATTATTTCTCTGTCCCAGCCAAAATGATGTGCCCACAGGCAAGTCTGTGGAAGGCTTTTCCACGACTCTTTCATATATTCTGCAAAGAAGCATCAGGTAAGTAATGTGCATTAACCGTCATTTCTTAGAATCTTCCATTACCTGAACTGAGAACATTTCACTTACTTATTGCAGTCGACGTGTAAAATCAAGTGGGAGGCACTGATGGCTAAGGAGAGCTTGTGCCACTTATCATCAGCCAAAATGTAAGGAAACACTTCTGTGTGGGGATGGTGGCTGCCGGAGGAGTGGTAGTGCAGTCTGACTTCATTCCGATGGCCGCTGCTTTCCAGTTCCAGGTACCTGCACAGAGAAGAAGAATCACACGAGGCACATTGAAAATAAAGCTCAAAAATGATGTACATGACCTCTGTCTCCAGAAAGATGGAATAGACACACCTTTCCTATTCCTCCCAATAAGTACAACTAAACAGGATATTATAAAACAAACAATAAGAAGAGTCTGAAAGATGGAGAAAATTTTTTAAAAATGCAAAAGGGCACTCAGGGCGCGAGTAACAACAGAACGTGAGTGAAGAGGGTTTTCCTTTTTCCTCATATATGCCAGTCTTGGAGGTGGAGAAACCAGCAACCTGGAAATACCAATGGATGCAGACAAAACAATTCCCCTCAAAAGCCTGCTCATTCTAGCTAAAGTACCAAAAAAGGAGAAGCCCAGAAAGACAAAAACTTTTAGAGAGCAACCACTCTATTCCAGCCAAGCACCACAGGAAAAACTGTGATTCCATCCCCAAACATGTCAGCAAAGGCTAAGTGGAGAGTCTAGATTTTCACTCTCTTGAGGCAGAAAACAGGTACCCAACACCTCTGCCAGGGTGGTGCCAACAAAGGCCAAGTAGAGAGCCAAGAATTATAACCCTGTCAGCCAGTAATGAGATGAACCATGGCATCAGTGGAGACCATGTTCCAACCCTAGTAACAAAGCACACTGCCTTCTCAGAGGAGGCCTAGTGGAGAGTCAGAACTTTCACCATCACCCTGCAGTACTGACACCATCCCTACCAGAGTGTCTGGTAGCGACCATGTGGGCAGTTGGAACTTCCACCCCCTCATCCAGAAATAATAAAAGTTCTCACTTAATTGTCAACTGAAGGCCTAGTAGGGAACCTGGATTTCTAGTTCCACCTGGAAATAACAAAATGACACCCCCTCATCCTCTGCCAGTGCATTATCACAGAAAGTCACATAAAATATGGAGTTTAATGAGATCCAAGTCTCAGAACATCATACAAATATATCCATGTTTCAATCCAAGTCTCAAAACATTATACAAAAATATCCAGGTTTCAACCCAAAATCAAACACCATACCAAGAATCAGAAAGATATCAAATATAATGAAAAAAGACAATCAATAGAAACAAACAAACTTGAAACAAATGAAAAAAAGTTAGAGGCTGAGATTGGTTCAAGATGGCGGAGTACCAGGAGTGCTCTCCCTCTTGCGAGAGCACTGGAATCACAACTAACTGCTAAACAATCATCGACAGGAAGACACTGAAACTCACCAAAAAAGATACCCCACATCCAAAGACAAAGGAGAAGCCACAATGAGATGGTAGGAGGGGTACAAGCACAATAAAATCAAATCCCATTACGGCCAGATGGGTGACTCACAAACTGGAGAACACTTACACCACAGAAGTCCACCCACTGGAGTGAAGGTTCTGAGCCGCATGTCAGGCTTCCCAACCTGGGGGTCCAGCAACGGGAGGAGGAATTCCGAGAGAATCAGACTTTGAAGGATAGCAGGATTTGATTTCAGGACTTCGAGAGGACTGGTGAAAACACAGACTCCACTCTTGGAGGACACACACAAAGTAGTGTGCACATCAGGACCCAGGGTAAGGAGCACTGATCCCACAGGAGACTGAACAAGACCTACCTGCTAGTGTTGGAGGGTCTCCTGCAGAGGCGGGGGTGGCTGTGGCTCACCACGAGGACAAGGACACTGACAGCAGAAGTTCTGGGAAGTACTCCTTGGTGTGAGCCCTCCCAGAGTCTGCAATTACCCCCACCAAAGAGCCCGGGTAGGCTCCAGTGTTGGGTTGCCTCAGGTCAAACAACCAACAGGGAGGGAAGCCAACCCCACCCATCAGCAGACATGCGGATTAAAGTTTTACTTAACTCTGCCACCAGAGCAACACCCAGCTCTACCTACCACCAGTCCCTCCCATCAGGAAGCTTGCACAAGCCTCTTAGATAGCCTCATCCTCCAGAGGGCAGACAGCAGAATCAAGGACTACAATCCTACAGCCTGTAGAAGGAAAACCACATTCACAGAATGATAGACAAGATGAAAAGGCAGATGGCTATATATCAGATGAAGGAACAAGATAAAACCACAAGAAAACAACTAAATGAAGTAGAGATAGGCAACCTTCCAGAAAAAGAATTCAGAATAATGATAGTGAAGATGATCCAGGGCCTCAGAAAAAAAATGGAGGCAAAGGTCGAGAAGATGCAAGAAATGTTTAAGAAAGACCTAGAAGAACTAAAGAACAAACAAACAGAGATGAACAATACAATAACTAAAATGAAAAACACACTAGAAGGAATCAATAGCAGAATAACTGAGGCAGAAGAACGGATAAGTGACCTGGAAGACAGAATGGTGGAATTCACTGCCATGGAACAGAATAAAGAAAAAAGACTGAAAAGAAATGAAGACAGCCTAAGAGATCCCTGGGACACCATTAAATGCAACAACATTCGCAATACAGGGGTCCCAGGGGAGAAGAGAGAGAGAAAGGACCAGAGAAAATATTTGAAGTGATTATAGTCAAAAACTTCCCTAACATGGGAATGGAAATAAATAGTCACCCAAGTCCAGGAAACACAGAGAGTCCCAGGCAGGGTAAAGCCAAGGAGAAACATGGCAAGACACATAGTAATCAAACTGACAAAAATTAAAGAAAAATAAAAATTATTGACAGTAACAAGCGAAAATGACAAATATCATACTAGAGGATGCCCATAAGGTTAATAGCTGATTTCTCAGCAGAAGCTCTACAAGCCACAAGGGAGTGGCATATTTTTAAAGTGATGAAAGGGAAAAACGTACAACCAATATTACTCTACCCAACAAGTATCTCATTCAGAGTTGATGGAGAAATCAAAATCTTTACACACAAGCAAAAGCAAAGAGAATTCAGCACCAACAAACCAGCTCTACAACAAATGCGAAAGGAACTTCTCTAAGTGAGAAACACAAGAGAAGAAAAGGACCTACAAAAACAAACCCATAACAATTAAGAAAATGGGAATAGGAGCATACATATCAATAATTACCTTAAACGTGAATGGATTAAATGCTCCAAACAAAAGACACAGGCTCGCTGAATGGATACAAAAACAAGACCCACATGTGTGCTGTCTACAAGAGACCCACTTCAGACCTAGGGACACGTACAGACTGAAAGTGAGGGGAAGGAAAAAGATATTCCATGCAAATACAAATCAAAATAAAGCTGGAGTAGCAGTACTCATATCAGATAAAGTAGACTTTAAAATAAAGAATGTTACAAGAGAAAAGGGAGGATACTACATAATGATAAAGGGATCAATCCAAAAAGAAGATATAACAATTATAAATATATATACACCCAACATAGGAGCACCTCAACACATAAGGCAACTGCTAACAGCTATAATGAAGAAGTCGAAAAGTGAGGGACTATAACATCTCACTTACAACAATGGACAGATCGTCCAAACAGAAAATTAATAAGGAAACACAAGCTTTAAATGACACAATAGACAAGATAGATTTAATTGATATTTATAGAACATTCCATCCAAAAACAGCAGATTACACTTTCTTCTCAAGTGCGCATGGAACATTCTCCAGGATAGATGACATCTTGGGTCACAAATCAAGACTTAGTAAATCTAAGAAGATTGAATTCATATCAAGCATCTTTTCTGACCACAATGCTATTAGATTAGAAATCAGTTACAGGGAAAAAAATGTAAAAAACACAGACACATGGAGGTTATTTTATACATTACTAAATAACCAAGAGATCACTGAAGAAATCAAAGAGGAAATTAAAAAATACCTAGAGAAAAATGAAAATGAACACAAGACAATCCAAAACCTATGTGATGCAGCAAAAGCAGTTCTAAGAGGGAAGTTTCTAGCACTACAATCCGACCTGAAGAAACAAGAAAAATCTCAAATAAACAATCTAACCTTACACCTAAAGGAACTAGAGAAAGAAGAACAAACAAAACACAAAGTTAGCAAAAGGAAAGAAATCATAAAGATCAGAGAAGAAATAAATGAAATAGAAACAAAGAAAACAGTAAAAAAAGATCAATAAAGCTAAAAGCTGGTTCTTTGAGAAGATAAACAAAATTGATAAACCATAAGCCAGACTCATCAAGAAAAAGAGGGAGAGGGGCTTCCCTGGTGGCGCAGTGGTTGAGAGTCTGCCTGCTAATGCAGGGGACACGGGTTCGAGCCCTGGTCTGGGAGGATCCCACATGCCGCGGAGCAACTAGGCCCGTGAGCCACAACTACTGAGCCTGCGCATCTGGAGCCTGTGCTCCACAAGAGAGGCCGCAATAGTGAGAGGCCGGCGCACCGTGATGAAGAGTGGCCCCCACTTGCCACAACTAGAGATAGCCCTTGCTCAGAAATGAAGACCCAAAGCAGCAAAAATAAATAAATTAATTAATAAACTCCTATCCCCAAAATCTTCTTAAAAAAAAAAAAAAAGAGGGAGAGGACTCAAATCAAGAAAATTAGAAATGAAAAAGGAGAAGTTACAACAGACATCACAGAAATACAAAGCATCCTAAGAGACTAATACAAGCAACTCTATGGCAATCAAGTGGACAACGTGGAAGCAATGGACAAATTCTTAGAAAGGTATAACTTTCCAAGACTGAACTGGAAAGAAATAGAAAATACGGACAGACCAATCACAGGTAATGAAATTGAAACTGTGATCAAAAATCTTCCAACAAACAAAAGTGCAGGACTAGATGGCTTCACAGGTGAATTCTATCAAACATTTAGAGAAGAGCAAACACCCATCCTTCTCAAACACTTCCAAAAAACTGCAGAGCAAGGAACATTCCCAAACTCATTCTATGAGGCCACCATCACCCTGATACCAAAACCAGACAAAGAGGGCTTCCCTGGTGGCGCAGTGGTTGAGAGTCCACCTGCCAAAGCAGGGGTCACGGGTTCATGCCCCTGTCCGAGAGGATCCCATGTGCCACAGAGCAGCTGGGCCCGTGAGCCACCGCCGCTGGGCCTGCGTGTCCGGAGCC